TAATACAGAAAATTGAAATAGGAAAATTCCATTTTTTATGTAATGGGAAAAGTAAACTAATTTGAGAATTTATAAACCGGGATCCTATGGTCCTTTTCTTCTTTTTCCTTCATGATCTGCTCACCAGCAACATCACCTGGGGATCTTTTACCTATAATGGAGAATTTAAAAGTATAATTAAGCACAGTAGATCCATTGCTCTCTCAAAAAACATAGAAAAAAAATTACCTTGTTTCAAGTCATCCAACTGCCTGGAAAGAATTTGATTTTCTTTGCCCAGTTCCTCCTTTTCCTTGGACAGAAGCTCAAATTTCCTCTGCATAATGGTAATCAGGTGACAAATGGAGATTGAACCAAATAGGTAGTATCATTTTATCTTGAAATGTAAAACATTGGGATAAGAAAAAAAACCACAATAAATTTTTTTAAAAATAAATTCTTTGAAAAAGGAAGGATATGTAGAAAACCTTGAAAAGAGCTGTGGCTTTCTTCTGCCTCTCCAAGTCTGACTTCAAACTAGCCTGCATGTAAAATCACATGGAAATGTTTGGATTCATTTTTTTATAATCAAACTTGCTTAAAGCATAATTTGACTTAAAAAGAAGTGATATACAAAGCGTGTTCAAAGCTCGAAGAAGCTTCTACCCCAAAAAAGAAGCTCCTAGGACCAGATTTTTCTTTTCGGGAACTTTTAGCAGGTAGCTTTCACCTATTCAACCATATTTCTGACCAATATCCTCCTCAGGTTAATAATAACTTCCACTCAAATAATTTTTTTAAAAAGGAGCAACAAATTATCTTTTTTTGGTCGTTTAACTAAAACTTCAGCTTAAGTCTCATAATTTATAAAAGAATTCAGTTTTTAGTGGTCCATTTAGCTCAACTAGTTCTTTGGTTTTCATCTGTTGAAAGTGCTCTAAAGATGACTTCTAAAAAATAGCTGTAAAGTAAAAGTAGCTAAGTGATTAGTGATAAATATTTAAGTAATAGAAACTGCACACAATGAAAATATAAGAATTATTATAACTATTCAAATAATTTCAAATAATTCTCTTAATATGTTCTAATAATTTAAATAATCTTAAATTATTTATTGTAGTAGAATTATTATATTTGTTTGTCCAATATAAATATTAATTTCAAATCATCAGTATCTAATTTTAAAATAAAAATCGCTTAAATAATTCATAATGAACATAAGTTTTTAATAGTGTATTACAATAATAATATTATTTCTAAAACACAAAAATAGTGAAATATAAATAAATACACTCATTAAATTATTATTCACTCCTAAAATACAAGTCCTTTATCAAAAGTATCTAGTTTCAACTTTTGATTTCACCTTTATCATAAGGCACAAACAAAGAAAGAATACTTGTGGGTTTTTATGTTTTCTGTGTTCAGTCAGACCATTGTTTTTTGAAAGGGAAAGAAAATGCAGCTCACCCAAATAAGCATTAATCTAAAAGCCAGAAAAAGAACTAATTCAAACACTCTTTGCGCTTATGCACTCTGAGCTTAAAGCCCAGTAGGACCAAAAGCTACATAAGCTTAACGTACCAAAAAAAAGACCAATTCAAACAGCCTCATAAACAAGGATGTAAACAGGCAGATACTGAAGTTGGCAGTGAAACTTTGTTCCTTTTAATAAAGATCTCCAGTACCTGTACTTGTTGTGCATCATTTAACCTACTCTCCTTCTCACTAAGTTCCATTTTGGTATTTGCAACTTCTTGCTCCAACTGTGATATTGTGTCCTGCTTCTTGGAAAGAAGGATCTTGATTTCTTCTATCTGAGCATCCTTCTCTTTCATTTTATCCTGGCAGAAATATTAAATGGTTACATCATAATAAGACAGATGTTTGTGGCATACGAAAAGGGTGGGTAAGTGCAAAACCAAATATCTAGAAGATGCAGATGTAGGTAGCTAACTTTAATAGGCTATCATATCAAGTGATGCTCCAGCATAGTAGCATTCAATTATAACAGTGGCAATCAATCTTAAAATATGAAAGAGACCAAAAATTGTGCAAATGATGGTGGATGGATGAACTTTCCTCCATTAAATTTGTGAAGGCTGATTTTGAAGTATAGCTTTTAGAGAGAGCTGAATGTTAATTTCTCTTTATGAACTAAATAGAATCTACTTATAGTAAGAAAAGGACCTTCCCGATACCATTTTTCTTATTGTTTCAAGTACAGTTGGGGGATTTAATAAACTTAAATGAAATGTTTTAACATACTTAAATCCAACTGGTGGACTGGAGGAGGACAGGATAAAAACTGTGGTTCTTATGTTAATTGAGAAGCAGTTAACTTGCTCAAGAAAATGATCTCCAATATTTAACTGGAACAGAATCATGTACACAAATAAACAAGTAAACGATTACTAAAGGGAATAACACCACCAGGTTAGGAAGCCATGCATTAAAGGTCTCCTGCATAGGTGCCAGAAGCTAAAAAAATCCTACTTCAGTCATATCTTTGAACAATTATGAAAAAAAAAATAGCAAAGAGATTAAAACCAAAACACTTCCTTTAAATTTATCAGTTAACCCACCTCCGACAGTCGAAGATCTTCCTTTAGGCGCTCATAGTCCTCCACATCAATGTTCTTCCACCTCTCAAGTAACTACGCCAAAGTAACAAACATTACAAAATTGAACAAACAAATATACCTTTAATATAAGATTTATTCTAAAATGAATTACCTCACTGACCCTCTTTTCCAATTGCTCTTTCTCAATCCTTTGCATTTCAATTTCCTTTTTACAAGATTCAATCTCAATTTGCTTCTCCCTCACAAGATTCTCCAAAGTCTCAAATTCCATTTGAGCCTTCTGAGCTACATTGCGCAATTTCTGCAATAAATAATGGTTAATTCTTTTTCATTAATGTAATATTTACTTTTTTCTCTAATAACAAGTTTTTATCAGAAATTTCTCCCTTAGGGAACTAGGCCATAACCAATATTAGCGTGAGTGACAAAATTACTTGCATGTGGATTTCAACATAGCGTACCTGGCATTCTTCAAAATTGTGCCTGTTCTCCTCTCTAAGTTGCATGTTGCTTTCACGAAGCAAATTCATTTCTCTAACCTGCAGCAGCACTTCATTCTGTTAGCAGGTGAAGAAAAACATCCAGAAAGTTGAAATGGGCTTTATGTCACCATAACAAACAAACAATGGATAATTCTAAACATAGACTAGTGAAGAAAAACTGCCAGAAGGTTGAAACATGCTCTATATCACCAAAATAAACCAAAAAAGGTTAGTTCTAAAGAAGATAAATATAAAATAAAACCAACACTACAAGTCTACATGAAAACAACAAATTCAGGTCCTTTGTAAAAATATATAAAAAAAAACAACAAATCATATGAGCAAACAACGGAAGCGTAAATTACAGAAGCCATTAAC